CCACTTGTTTTAGGTGCGGCTGACCCAAAGCCTGCGGAAGATTCCCAAACTGTTCTGGAAAGCTTCCTCCCCGAGTACCAAGAGCTTATCTATCTTCTGCCGGCCGAGTTCCATCCCACATCAACCCGGCATGGCCAGCACTCGTTCACAACGTGGCTCAACAAAAATGTCTCCACAGATATAAAAGGTGTTCAAAGAGGTGTGTGTATATATATATAGAGATATAAAATCTTTACAATTGCAAATGATGATCTCTTCAAATCTGATGGGGGTGGCATCCCTATATATATATATATTTGTATTTATAATATATACATATATATATATATATGTATTTGTATATATGTATATATATTTATCATGTCTTGCTTATATAGCCCAGTGCCTGCTGGATCTAAGGGTGGTGCAGGGCAAAGCTCGGGTGGAGATCTTGCTTCGGCAGCGGGCCTTCAAGACGAAGAGCGACATCAATGGGATCCCGCTGAAATCATCTCAGAACCCGGGCTTCTTTGGGTGTGACTCAAAATAAGATGCCCCAAATCCTTTGTTGTATCCCAAACCTAGATATAATAAACCGTGGTATCACGAGTTGCCTATTCAAACTGCTTCTTTGGGCCCCAGGAGTGAGCGACCTATCGTGTGGGATGAATCCCAGAGAAAATCATTATATACACACTTGAACACATGTGTATATATATATATACATATGAGTGAAGGTACATATGTATACAAATATATATATTTATACAGCTACCAATAAACAAATGTGTATATATATATATATTATATACATATGTACATACATACATGCATACATCTGCTCATTTTCCACTAAGTCATAAAAACGTGGGTAAAATGTGGCAAAAACAGTGTATTCCTGAGACTTGTGGGGGCCTTTTTCGGTGAACCAATACATACATACATACATACATACATACATACATACATACATACATACATACATACATACATACATACATACATACATACATACATACATACATACACACACATACACGCATACACACACACATACACACACACATAAATACATTCATACGCACAGACATACATAATACATACATGTTTCAACATTGACAGTACACATATACATAGATATACATGTAAAACACATATACACATAAACAAAGTGGCACAAAACACAATCATCCACATAGATATGCTACAGCATTTGCACATACACATTTACAGACATTTACTTACACACAGACAAATTTCAACATATATACATGCATATGCACACACACACAGACACATACATGCATGCATGCATGCATCCATCCATCCATCCATCCATAGATACATACATACATACATACATACATACAAACAAATGAACAAACAAACGAACAAACAAACAGACAAACAAACATACATACATACAAAGATACAAAGATACATACAAAGATACATACAAAGATACATACATTTTTTGACACAAAAGAAAAAGGTACAACTATAATGTAGTTGTACCTATTTATTTTGCGTTCAAACCATGCATGCATGCATGCATGCATGCATACATACAAACATACATACATACACACATACATACATTTACACATATATACATACATACATACATACATACATACATACATACATACATACATACATACATACATACATACATACATACATACATACATACATACATACATACATACATACATACATACATACATACATACATACATACATACATACATACATACCTGCGTACATACGGACGTACATACATACCATATGTACGACATATATATTATGTATTTATATAAAAAGAAATATACGCCTAGCTGCCTGGCCGGCTCAGGATTTCCTTCCAAGATGATATCGAGGAAGCTACCAAAACCGTGTTCAAGGCTATCGGGGCTGAGGCTCAGGATTAGAAAGAGTTCTGGTACTCAAATATGTCCTGCCACCTGGGCAGTCTACTTAGTATACTTTGCGCCCATGATGGGCTTTTGGGGAGGATCATGTTGATCTGTCCGAGGGAGTGCCGAATGCTTGATTCCTGCGTTAGTGGTACCAACCATGTGTTTCAAACATGTTAGACTATTAGAATCTTGAAGATGGATTCAGTGGTGTTCTGGGGGGTCAAGCAGCTGGCTGGTGTTTATGGGCTAAAAGCCTCCAACAGTTTCGGGGAAGCAATTTCAAGATTGCGGCGAGGAAAAAATGAGTTCTCCTTACTGAATCATTTCCAAATTGTAGAATCAAACCAATGGAATTGTACATCTGCCATCCTAAGGAATCACATGGTTGGCCGCTGTATGGCATGTCTGATGATGATGTGCTCCCTCGGCCTACCATTCATACTGGAGCAGCCGAGTACAAGTGTGATGGAATACCACCCATGTTTCCAATTTCTGGCACAACGCTTCAAGATATATCGAGCAACTTTGGCTTAAAATAACTAAACAGGAACTGTTTCTGTTCAAAGATCTGATCTACTGTAATGTATTTTGATTTGCCCTCGCTCTCCAATTTGCCCAGGGGAAACCAAATTGAGGTATTTATTTGGATGGCCCATACCATCTCTTATGCAGGTATCAGGATGGAAGTGGAGTAAATCGAGTGTGTGGAGATGCTGACCTGAAGCGAAGCCAGCACTACCCAGTTCTCTTTGGCCGTACCATTGCTGAAACCTACATGCGAGAATGTTCTCAAATCAAAGCATCGGAATATATGCTCAGGCCAGATAAACCCAGTTCAGTTGTGTCTTCTTGGGGGCCTAAAAATAATTATATAGGTACATACGTATAGAATCTGTAAATTTATGTTTTGTACTATATATATATATATGTAATTGTAATGTGATATATATATATATACGTATGTTATGTTAAAAACATATATATCGTATATGCTATATGTATTTATTATGAATATATATATATATACATACATATATATATATATTTATTTACATATATATATATGTAATCACTGGGCCACCCTGCGCCAGGACCAATCTGCTTGACAACCCCAAAAAGGAGATGCGAGACACCTGGCAGCAATTTGTTAGATTCACGGTTCACGGTTTCACGGGTTCACGATTTCACGGGTTCACAAGTCCCAATTCACGTATCATATGGCTATATATATATATATACTGAAGTATAGTCTAAAAAAAACCCATTGAGCTCGATCCATCATCTTAAGATTTGACAGCCCTAGGATATTGGATGGGTGAAGCATGCGAACCTGCGCCCAGTGTTCGCTTCGCTATGTGAAATCTGAGGAGTACATAGCCCGGTGAAACAACTGTTTTGCAGCAGTTGATGATGCACCATGCATCATTTGCCAAATTTGAACAAATTGGAAATTCCCAGCACAACCCGTGAACCGTGAAAAAACCGTGAAAACCCCGTGAAATCCCGTGATATTTCATGGGTTATGAACCTAGCTATTTTTGAGTGGTTTTGGGGTGTGCTGGCCCGTTGCCAACCGTACTTTCAGGGGGTTGAACCAGTCAAAAATGGATTTCAGCTTAAAGTTTGCATGTGATGAGCAGCAGTTCTGCAAACAATTGTGTACTGTATGAGTTGAGTTGTGATTTGATCCCATGAGACTACATTTTTACATCATTTTACATTGTATCTAATGCAGTCATTCGGCTTTAGCTTCGCGATAAAGGGCTACAATGGCTCCTGATAGGAGACTTAGAGGGAAAACACCAGACCCTGCCCGGAGGCATAAGAGCCCCGATGCAAAGGCTTTGCGGAAAGCAGAGCTACATGTGAAGTCAAAGAAACCCAGTGGGGGGTCTGCTGAATCGGCATCAAAAGAAACTACCCGGAGGGCATTGACCTTTGATGAAACCCCTAAGGTGCATAGTATTGTTGCCGAACATGATGCAGGAGACCGCCGCCCAGGTAATTCGGTGGCCAAGCCTGAGCCCAGGAAAAAAGCCAAAGGTGATCGCATGAGCTCTTCCGAAGCTGACAAGATCCTGGCAAAGTTCGTGAAAGACCAGGATACATGGTGACCATGGGTGAAGAAAAGTTGGGTGGGTGTGTTTATAATTGTTTGTATATAGGTAACGTACCCAAATCTCATTATCCACATGATCCAACATATGTATTTACATATATATATATGAAAAACACATGTGATCATATTAAAGTTTGTGACCCCAACTTCTTGTGTGCACAGGAGGCCAAAGATGCTGCAGCTTCTGCATCGGAGAGTGAAGGTTCTCAGGCTCCCTATTTCATATACCGGGGCAGCTGTTCATACAAGCAAATATATGATCAATAAATATATATATATATAAATAAATATCAATAGATATTATCAATATATATATATTACCAATATTTTCATCATGTTATATATTTATATACAGTATATGCATGTGTTTGTATATACAGACACAGACATGTATGTATGTATGTCTGTCTGTCTGTATGTACGTATGTATGTATGTATGTATGTATGTACTTATTCATTGCTCACCTTTTTGCAAGCAAAGGGTCTCTACATGCAACACATGTTCATTTCCGGCAGCTCGCAGGTTCAGGATGACAGCGCCAGCTCTGATGGTTCTGGCTGTGAAAGCACAGATGAAGGACCAAAGGGCAATGCAGGCACTGAAAAAAACAGTTCAAAGAATGCAGGCAAGACTGCCGCAAAAAGCAAAGGCTCAACTGTTGAGGTTGCAAAGGCTCCAAAGAGTTCCAAGACGTCCAAGACTGAGAAGAAGAAGGACCAGGAGCCAGATAAAGAAAGAGTAAAGATGACCAAGGGCAGCAAGGACAAAGAGAGGAAAGAGGAGTCTGAAAAGGAGGCTTCTGATGATGAAGAGGAAGAAAGCGTCTCTTCTGAGTCAGAAGCAGAGGAGGCCCACCGGAATCAGCCTGACAGTTTCGTGCAGAATGCCAGTTACCCCAAAACAGATGTTCGGAGGTGGACAGTAAAGGGACAAATCTGGCCTTACCTTGCCCGAAAGGAGAAGGAAGAAGAAGAATTCGAAAGTGAGGACAGCGGCTCAGAGAAATCTGATGCCGAAGCGCAATCCGAAGATGATCAAGAGGAGAAAGATGAGGGAGATGAGGGAGATGAGAACGACAAGGATGAATCTGAGGAGTCCAAGAGCGGATCTGAGAGTTCTGAAGACGAGGAGAGTGAAAGCGAAGACAAAGATGACAATGTAGATGTAGAGAGTGAGGAGGAGAAGGAGCCGCCCCAGACCAAGGGAAGTAAGAAGGCAGAGAAGAAAACAACAAAGAAAGAAGATGAGAGCAAGACCAAGGTCACGAAGCAGAAGCAGAGAGGTGAGAAGGAGCCAACGACAGAGAAGAAAGATGAGAACGCAGGGAATGCAAAGGGCAAGCCACAGAAGGCAAAAGGCAAGTCAGAGAAGAAGACAGATGAGGAGCCAGAGAAGACGACCAAGACAGAAGACGGCCGGAAGAAGAGAAAACAAGAAACCTCAGAGAGTGGTGCTTCTTCTGACAAGGTCCAAAAGAAAGCAAAAGGACCTAGCTCGGAGAACTTGGAGAAGGTGAAGAAGGTGCAGAAGGTGGAGAAGGAAGCGGGAAAGACAACGAAGGAGCAGGGTGAAGACACAGGCCGGCAGGCCAAAAAGAAGAGAAAAGCTGAGAAGGAGGATGCAGAGAGACATGAAAAGAAGATAAAGGACCAGGAGGGTTTGGCCATTGTGGCCACTGACCAGCCCACAAGCATCATCAAGAAGCAAGTTGGAGAGAAGCCCGCAGAAGATGAAGGATCAGAGGTCGAGAAGAAACTTGCAGATGCGGAGAAAAACATGAAGATCAACAGCACCACGCACAGAAAGATGTGGATGAAATTTCTGAGGTTCCGAAAAAACAAAAAAAAGATGCGACTGTGCCCTTCCCAAATGGTGGCTGCCTTGCAGTCTGAGGCCAGGGATGTTGTCAACCACACACATCATATAGCCACATAAACATGTATGTATGTATGTGTGTATGTGTGTATGTATGTATGTATGTAATCTAATCTAATCTACTCTACTCTACTCTACTCTATCTATCTATCTATGGAGGGAGGTAGGTAGGTAGGTAGGTAGGTAGGTACAATATGGTGATCATGATGATGATGATGATGATGGATGATGGTGGATGATGATGGATGATGATGGATGATGAAAAACTAGAGCTCTATCCATAAACAAATGCATGTTTAGAGATCCAGGTTTGCCCATCGGGACAGCCATTCCTCGCCCACATGCCCTAACAATTTTCCTGTTAGTTTGGCACCCCCACAACCAACTAAACATGTAGCAAACCTGTAGGAAAAAGGTTACTGAGGGTAGAGTTGTGGGGGTCAGATTTTGGGGTGCCAAACAAGCAGGAAAATTAGAAACATGCCCCAAGTACAGTATCCAAAAAAAAGACCATTGTGGCCCCCTATACATGTGAACAAGATTGAAAAAGGGCCCTCATCATGGTGATAGCTATGTTTTTTATGAGTTCATACCTCTGTCAAGTGTTTTCTTGTTAGTCGCCTATACCACAGGACCAAAGACAGAAGATCTTTGCAGACTTTGTCAAGGTGGGTGGGAACGTGGAACACCTAGTGCTCAAGTACGAAGCAGGCCTCACCGAGTCCCAGGCTTCCAATATCAAGTGGGGGTTCAGACCCGAAAAGTGGCTAGAGGATCGACATGGTGCCAAGAAGGCAAAAAAGTTGATAAATCGAAAGCTGTCTTTGGGTTTGCTCCCTGGTTGCACCATGCATCTGTCGGTCCAGCCTCAAAGGGTGACAATTTGGAAACTTTCTGCAGCATGTGTAAATGGCCTCGGCAGCCCAGGTGGATCCAAGATCCTGAACTCCCGGATGATGAAGAGGAGAAGCTGTTCTTCACCATGATCAATTTGGACATGTCCAATATCACCGAAGTGCGGCGTCTTACAAAGCTTGAGATGGAGGGATGTATCAACCAAGCTGGCTTGGACGAGTTCGTGAAGGCATTCCCAATTTCACACATTAAGTCTATAAAATGTCGATGAGATAATGCATCTTCAGCACAGACTAATTGGAAAAACTATTATGTATATATTTGTTTTACAATCGAGCAGTGTTCAGGACCCTATTCAATCATATTGGTTGACCGGGAAATGGATTATATGATAATCCCACAAGAAAAAGTGGCTAGTATCATCCCCTTTAACCATCAACAAACCAGGATGCTCACTTCTACTTTCCGGGGTTGTCTCCATCTGCTTTACCAGGCTGGTGGAGTCTTGGATCCCAATGCCCAGCTGAAGTTGTCTGACTTCACAGGGAAAGGTGGCTGTGAAAAGTTGGCAAGTGCCATGGGTTCTCTGCAACAGCCAAAGACGGGGAAGGGTCAGAGAAGGAATCAACAGCAACAAGGTGAACCAACTAAGGCCAGCGGTTTTCAACTTTCCATGTTTATGTTCAACAAACATCAATTCCCAATGTTTCCATTAATTTCCCCATCAATTCCCGATATCTCATGTTCAACAAACATCAATTCCCAATGTTTCCATTAATTTCCCCATCAATTCCCGATATCTCATGTTCAACAAACATCAATTCCCAATGTTTCCATTAATTTCCCCATCAATTCCCGATATCTCATGTTCAACAAACATCAATTCCCAATGTTTCCATTAATTCCCCCATCAATTCCCGATATCTCATTACCATGCAGGTTGAACCACAGACCCCGTTGCAGAAAGCCCAGCAGCTGGTGAACAAAGTTCTCAAGGACGTCAATGATTGCCGGATTCACGGCATTATATATGTTAATATAAGATTATAAAACTGGTTATGTATATATATATATATAGATATACATAATATACATATACACATGCACATACATATGGTAATTGTGAATAAACATACATATCATTATGTGTAAAAAAGAGCATGTGTAATCTCAAATGCCAATTCTCTAAACTCTAGACCTCCTCCTGTTCCATGCGGTGACTCTGAGGAACGCGGCATTCAAGCTGAAGCCGATCAAGATGTCATCGGACCTCATCAACCAACTCAGTGCAGTGGCTGTCAAGTTGGAGGAATGCGCCACGGCATTGCAGGACTTGATCGGAAAAAAGAAGTCAAAGACGAAGCACTATGTGGGGGTCATCACTGAGGCAACCTTTTTCTAAAAGGAATTTTGAAGTCAGTCTGAATGGAGTTGCATGCTTCGTAAAATTTACTACAAGTCTGCATGATGTGAACACATGAGCACCTGATACATTTACAATGTGTTTCCATCTTTCACAGGTGAACAAGTACACCGAAATGGCTCGTGAGAGGTTGGAGCTGTCAAAGGCACTTTTGAGGGCCAGCGACAAAGCTAGGTCCACTCCCAAGGCCAAGGCTGCCCCAAAGGCGGCACCATCAGCTGCAGGACCAGCCAAGCCTCGCAACAATTAGCTTGGATCTTGGGCTGGATGGCCAAATTTCAAAGCTGCTAAGCCGGGTGGATGCCTATTTCAAGTGCTGGGGTATCAGCTTTAGAGCGGAGGCTGCAGGACCAAATCTTAATAAAACATTTCAATTTGATTTGACTTCCTTCCTTGATGATTCTGTTGCTAAGCTAACCGAATGTCAGAAAACATTGTTTTCATCAGGGGATGGTTTGCGAATGTGGCCTCTGCATAGCTGGGCATTTGTTTTGAGGGCGCGAGGAGAGCTTCAACAAAGGGTTTACCCAGGATCAGAATGATCGTTCGCTGCGACATTGGTGTGAACACCAATCTTGAAATCACTGTGCTTGGAAAAGGCTACTCAGGTTTAGAGTTGTGAGTTTGGCAATAAGGCTCATTTGGATCAAAGCAAAAAACCTGGTTTCTCCACCAGTCCCGCGCAGGTCAAGGTCCAGGGGCCTGACAATCAGACGCAGAGGACCATGGCGTGACCTGGGGCCAGACGTCCCATCTCGACCCATTTGTATCGATCGATACCCATCTATATCCAGCTATATCCAGATGTATCTCTATCTACCTATATCCACAATGTATATATATATACAGGTATTTTTAAACCTATATTTTTATTTAATATATGTCGCTGAATTATTAATGTTTATATCAACCTATATCTATCTTTCAAAACGATCTTCTATCCAATCTCCCAATCTATCAATATTGCAACCTGTCAAACTGTCAATCTACCAGTCAGTTTTTTCATTTATTTGTGCATATATATATATATAGAGTTATATCTGTATATGTATCGTCCATCTATCTATATCTATCCATCTTTAGTCTCATATCTATCGATATCCATATATATATATATTTCTTTACAAGCCTTTACCTACCAGTACCAGTGTGGATTATTTTGTTTGATCAGTCTATGCGAATGCACTTCAACATCCCTACCCAGTCAGCCTGTCTACTTGTAAATCTTTACATGGCATAGCAAATCAGATAATGCATCATTGTTTCAACCCCTAGCCACTGCATTACCCATCTCTCTACTTGTAAATCTTTACATGGCATAGCAAATCAGATAATGCATCATTGTTTCAATCCCTAGCCACTGCGTTACCCATCTCTAAACTTGTATCAAGTTAAGTTCAGGCTTCATTCCTGCTCTTCCAGGACAAAGCAAGAAAAGAAGACGTGATGAAAATGGCCCTCAAGGCATGCCCCAGCGGGCTTCAAAAAGTTGGTCAGTAGATAATAAATGGTTGTTACCAAACATCCAATGGGTTTCAGTACCAGGATCAACTTAGACAATGATTTCACTATCAACTATATATATATATACATATATATATATTCTCCACGGTCTCATTCAGCAGCCTTCCCACACCGAGCCGCATGCAGGTGCAAAGATTGTATCTGGCGGCAGTGGCACCGCCAAAAGAATCTTCTACAAAATGTGCAGTGGGGTGCCAACTTGGGGCCGAAATTTACCACCAAAGTCTATGTTTGGGATTCCCTAACCATTGAAAGGGTATTGCTTTCAATAATCACACACGGGTCCCAAAAATGGTGCCACATACCAAATAATGTGTTTTGAAGTAACCATGTTTGGGATGCCCCAAATTCAAAACTATCCTTTTGTTTTTTAGGGTTTATTAGGAAGATCCCCTGGACAGGAAACATCGGTGAGAGATGGGGTGGCAGCCGCAAGGCAACTGGTTAATGATGGTTTCAGTTGTTCTCTTAGCAGCGCTTTGGCATCTTTCTCTGCTTCCCACGAGGAGCGTTCTTTCCAAAAGAAACTTCTTTTCAATTCAGGACGCATTTTATTTTGGAATCTGAAATGTTAGCATATACAACCCCCATTGTCCACTGTTTGACCTTGGGAGCCGTACACATCCAAGGTGGTGCCGTGACAATTGCAAGATCCAGCCTGATCGGGTGCAGCTGTACAACCGGATGAATGGCGTGCTGTGGCCATGGGATGTTCTGGCCAATATGTGGGACAGCCCCGGTCATGTTGATTTTTTCAGTTGGATTCACGACCCTGTAGGGGAAGCAAGTCATCGTTGTGCAGAGTACTGGAACCGAGTTTCAGACCTTCCATTTTACAAGAAACTGGACATCAAGGATCCCAACAAAACAATACCATTGTCGTGGCACATGGACGGCGTGAAGGTTTACAAAACACACAAAGTTTGGGCCTATAGCCATTCGAGTGCAATCAGAAAAGGTCCATCTATCGACACCAAATCCCTTTTTCTTCTCTTTCGGGACAGTGATATGGTCAAGCCACACACGCACGATGCTGTTGCAAAGCTCATAGCTTACACTATGGATGTTCTGCAGTCAGGGGTTTTCCCATACAACGATTGTGAAGGAAATCCATTCCCACCAACTTCAAAACAAGCCCAAAGGGCAGGGTCTTACTTTGCTGGGGGTTGGTGCGCTGCATTCGCATGTTTCAAAGCCGATTTAGAGGGGCGAGTCCTGGCCCACAAATTGGCCCGGAACTGGGCGTCGGACTCCATATGTGAGCATTGCCTGGCCAGCAAGTTGCCTGAGTTCTCATACGGAGACTTCACTGATGCAGCGGCATATTGGGAGTGCATGTTTACCCACGACCAATTTTTGATGTTAAATCCCCCTGGGAGGACGTCAGAATGGGTCAATGTTCGGGGTTGGGACATCACTCGCAATTTGGATGAGCCTTGTCATTGCTTCTGATTTTTTGGTTTTGTTTTTCTTTTGATGCAAACGTAATTTTACCAAACAGATTATTTGGGTATGTTTGGGTTAATGTTCAAATATGTTTATATATATATATATGTATATATATATATGTAAATATATATATGGGTTCATCTTCACATCAAAGTTTGGAAGTGTAGACTATAATCACAAACTGTTGGGTGGTAAATCCTATTGTCAACATTTGTTTTGGCCTTTGTGTCTTGCTGTTGCAGGATATGCTACATACAGTCCATCAAGGTATAGCTCTTCATACAATCGCTGCATTGGTGACCCATCACTATGAAGAGGCATGCCCTGGGATAACTCTGGCACAGCTCAATGAAAAACTGACCTCTGAGGCATGGCCACACTACCGAAATTGGTGCAAAGGGAAATCGGTTGTTTGCCCAACAAGTTCACCTTTTACAACCACACGCTTTGGCAGAGAAAACTGGCAGTCTTTTCCGGAACTGGCATCATGCTACAAGGGCGCAATGGTGAAATATATGATTTTTTGGGTAGCGGAGTTTCTCAAGGAGAAGCTCAGTGAAGTTGATACAGAAAAAAGCTGTTTGAGAGCATACTGTGCTTGGAGTTTGTATCAATTTCAGTACTTGCAGGAAACGAATGGCCCATGGCTAGCCCCTGATGTTGCAGCAGAGATGGCACATGCGGGCCGAACTTTCTTGCTTTTTTACCAAAAGTTGGCAGTGGAATCTAGGGCTGCCTGCCCAGACAAAAAAATGTACAAACTTGTCCCAAAGTTCCATTGCTTCCTTCACTTGTGCATTTTCACGCAGGTGACGTGTCGGAATCCCCGATATGACCACCTGTATATGGAAGAGGATTTCATGAAACACGTGGGACGGATATGCAGCAAATGCCATCCATCCACATTAGACATGGTAAGTTTGTATCGCTACCGGGCTTTGATCGAACTCGCCGCCAAAGAAAAACTGGGATCCCGAGCACTGAGGGGTAGAGGCGGACATCCATGGAGGAGAATCTAAAGTGACAATTCACCATCTACTGACAAAATGTTCTGTCCAATAGCAGTTCCTTTTCTCTTTACAAGGTGTGAAGATGGGTTAGAATGTAGGTCATACCCATGGAATATGTTTCCAGTATGTTGTTTTGAGATACAATGAAAAACTACATGAACGGTCACGGCGGGCCCTTTGCTCTACAGTTTCGAAGCGGCGAGGACGCTCTGTCACATCTTTGGCTCGTCTGAAAATATGGCACACCAAATTCCCATGGTTAAATTATTATGGTTACATTGCCATGCCCTGGTATACGTGGGAATGAGAGTGCCCCATTTTCAGACGCAGCCACCTTCAGAAACCTTCGGATATCCAGTTGGGTGGATGGTTTTGTTGTGGTGTATTATATAGATGGGCTTTAAAATCACCAAACTATCAAATATAAGCAACAATTTTCCAGGATATTTCTCTTAGAACTATACGTACATATATGGGCACAAGTGCCCTTGTTCCCATTTGTTCTATATGTAGTTTTTACGCTTATATATCTTTTGGAATATGTTGTTTGAAGAGGTGGTCACGCAGGGAGACAACACCAAACAAAGGTTTGTTCGTTCTGTTTGTGTGCTCATCAAATTTATTGGTTTACATCACCCCAAACAAGAATACATGTACATACCAAGTATTAAAACCTCATTAGTCGTGTTTTGTATTTGATTTCTAATAATAATCCCAAACAAGAAGTTTTTTGGGGGTTCACATCCGAAGCAATGTGCAGCCCTTAGGTTTAAGTTGGCGATTTGTTACTGATTATTGGGTTAAGATCACAAACATGAATTCTGAAACCCATACTGTGATTCCTTTTTACTGGGCTAGCACCCCAAACAATACATGCTATTGAACTTACATATTTTAGGGTTTACAGACGCTAAAACTGACCATGGGGATAACGGAAAACCTCCAAATTTGTGGTGGGCAGACAACGGAAAGGACAACCCACCTATTTTTTTAATGTTGGTGCAGTGGTGCATCTAGCCTTGTATGGTACCATATATGGTAGCACTATCCTGGTTTGTGTTTTTGGAGTTCCTCACAATCGTACTATGTCCGAACAAATCCTTTACTGACCAACTTTGATAATATCAAGGCTCAAGCCGCTGGCTTTGTAGCAACACTAATCTTTTTGATCATTGAGATCGCAAAATATCTTCAATACTGACATCTCAAAGGCTCTTGTGACAATCTGAATGCATGTCCAACATCCAACAGGGCGTCATGGGAGTAC